TTAATATTTCCAGTTTTCTTGAACAGATCTCTGGTTTTTCCCTTTCTATTATTTTCCTCTATATCTTTGCACTGTTCATTTAAGAAGGCCCTCTTCTCTCTCCTTGCTATTCTTTGGAAGTCTGTGTTCAATTTTCTGTAACTTTCCCTATCTCCCTTGCATTTTGTTTCCCTTCTCTTCTCCGCTATTTGTAAGGCCTCGTTGGATGGGCACTTCGCTTTATTGTTCCTTTTATCTCTTGACTCCCTACTTTAGCATTCCAGTCCACTATAATGAGAAGAACATCTTTCTTTGGTGTCAGTTCTAGAAAGTGTTGTAAGTCTTCATAGAATTGGTCAGTTTCAGCCTCTTCAGCATCGGTGGTTGGTGCATAAACTTGGATGACTGTGATGTTAAAAGGTCTGCCTTGGATTCGTATTGAAATAATTCTATCATTTTTGAGATTGCATCCCAGTACAGCTTTTCCCACTCTTCTGTTGACTATGAGGGGTACTCCATTTCTTCTACTGGATTCTTGCCCACAATAGTAGATATGGTAATCGTCTGAATTGAATTCGCCCATTCCTGTCCTTTTTAGTTCACGGACGCCCAGGATGTCAATGTTTATTCTTGCCATTTCCTGTTTGACCACATCCAGCTTACCAAGGTTCATAGATCTAACATTCCAGATTCCTATGCAGTATTTTTCTTTGCAGCATCAGACTCTCCTTTCACTTTCAGGCACGTCTGCAGCTGAGCATCCTTTCGGCTTTGGTCCAACCACTTCATTAGCTCTGGAGCTACCTGTACTTGTCCTCCGGTCTTCCTCAGTAGAATGTTGGATGCCTCCAGCGTCATAACTTTTAGCCTTTTGTTTCTGGTCATGGGGCTTTCTTGGCAAAGATACCGGGCTTGCCAGTTCCTGCTCCAGGTGGATCGCATTTAGTCAGAACTCTCCACTATGACCTGTCCCTGCACGGCATAGCCATAGCTTCTCTGAATTACTCAAGCCCCTTTGCCACGATATGGCAGCAATCCGTGAAGGGGAGGATATACATACTTGAGAAATAAAACTCCAGTGGTTCCAGATGATGACAGCTGTTTCCCAGGACATTTCAGGCCATTGCAGTGGAAAAGAGGACCATGGGGATACATGCAGAGTTTAGAAATACTATTACTGTCACTAATGGATTAACAGAACCTTGTTAATGAAGCTTATTCAATAACAATAAAATGTTGAAAAAGAATTAGAAAATACGTTAATTTTAATCTATCGGATTCTTGCCCACAATAGTAGATATGGTATTGAAGCTAATTCAATAACAATAAAATGTTGAAAAAGATTTAGAAAATACGTTAATTTTAATCTATCAGTTAATATCACTAAAAATGGCCAAAATGCAAAAAAGGACACCAACAGCTTAGCTTATACAGTTGATCCCCATGATCATAACAATAATGTTGAGTCTTACCTCCTGTTCTTGAGGCTGTAACATTCTACATATGCAGCCCAAAGGGAAGCATCTGTTTGGAGCAAGAAAAAGATACACAGTCAACACCCAAGTGGAAGTGGGCATAATCCATCCACAGTCAGATTCTTAAACAGAATAGAGGCACAGATGAATTTCCTACACCATTTAATTTACTCTTTGAATCAGACTTTCGGAAATGATACCGAACCGAAGCCTGAAAAATTACATTTTTCACCATGTGGGATAGGAGGCTCTGGGAACTATCATCCAAAAAAGATATATTTTTTGTAATTTTCCAAGCTCTGCACAAATTTTGAGCATATGAAAAGTGAAAGGAAGTAATGGTATGAGAATTAGTGGAAATAGTCAATATGTGTGGGAAATTTGGTGGGGCTCCCAAGTTAGAGGAGGGGATAGATACGCATGCTGAAAGTGTAAAGAAAAACTCCTGAAGGCTACTTAACATTTTACATAATGAACTGTTGAGAATCTCTCTGCTTCCTCTCCCCCTGGATGAAGATGGGAGGTACATTTAAGTAAAGTAGCAAGGCCAACTACTAATTAGGCTGACCTGGCCTACTATTGTTTCTATTGACTTGCAAAGCAGTTTACAATAGTTATCTCAGAACAGGCTAGTTAAGTAGGACAACCCTGACCCCATTTTAGTCTCAAAGGTTCTGCAGACTGTAAAGAAAATGTCATTAAGAAGACTATTGTGATGGGTATTATAAAGATTAGGTGGTATCTTTCTACATTACCACCTAATCTGGAAAAAAAACCTGTTTTTAGATAGGTGTGGCAAACACCTGCACTGTCTCAGAGTGGAAGATTTGCTATATTGCCTTGGAGAAGTCTGTAAATTGAGTAAAAGTAGGATGAGTTTTATTAGTACATAGACAGACAACTTGGGCTCTCAAGATGTTTTGTTCTACAACATCCATCAGTCCCAGCTGGCATGGCATGTAGTTTAAGCCTATGGAAATTGTAGTCCAAAACAACTGGAGGACATGATGTTGCCCACCTCACATTTAGAAGTTAATTTCAGCTTTCTCTTCCCAGGATAAGCTCTGGGGAAAGTAGGAAATGGGCTACAGCTGTGGCTATAATCTGCAAAGGCTTGTGCCAAATAAAACATACAGTATCATTCATTAAGAATCCTCAAAATATTCTCTCTTAATACATGTTAACAGAGGCTAGCCTCTTGAAATGTTGGGGAATAAGCAAGTTTGAGCTCATACAGGCTGTTATTCTGCACTGTAACTTTACAAGTCTCCAGAGTGTGGGATGGATCCCTAAAATTAGATCCCATGAATTCAACACAAGTGTTGCAAGAGCTGTCTTCCAAAGTTAATTAGAAGTATTAAGGCATTCTGTCTCCTGGATCTTATTTAAGCATTATGTCAAGTGGATAAGATCATTAAAGGATGGCTATGGTCTGTGCAGGAAGAAGGTGACTCTGCCTCACTTCATAATTTGGGAGTAAGGCGCTTCCACTTGTTCAAAACATTCGCCTTCACAAATACATTGCCCTTCCACTTGTTCAAAACAAAACATCACTGCTGCCACCATAGACATACAGCATGCATATTCTGATTTAGGACAATATTTTAGGAAGGAAAGTGGGGCAGGGAAAAGAAATACTAAAGACATCTCAACATTTGGCTTTGGCTTCCTTACTTTGTTTTCCTCCATGGTTCACACTCAAAATGGGAACCACCTTCCTCATTAAGTTAGCTTGTTAGTTTGCTTAGTTAGCATGAGGCTTATGGGGTTGTCTTCACGGCCTCTTTCCTAATGGCAGGGTAATGCAGGATATGAAATCTGCAAGTACAACTGGACTGCAAATCACAGTGCTCTTAACCATTAGCAATGCTGACTAAGGCTAATGGGGAATTGCAATCCTACAACATCTGGAGGCCTACATTTTCCCCAATTGTACTTAAGAGCAATTGTTGTTGTTTAGTCATGTCCGACTCTTCGTGGCCCCATGGACCAGAGCACGCCAGGCCCTCCTGTCTTCCACTGTCTCCCAGAGTTGGGTCAAATTCATGTTGGTCGCTTCGATGACACTGTGTAGCTATCTCATCCTCTGTTGTCCCCTTCTCCTCTTGCCCTCACACTTAAGAGCAATGGCCATCTGCAATTCCCTTTGTCAGTGATGTCAGGAAATCCATGCCAGCCTACACTAGAGTAAAGGGAGGTGGTGTTTCTGCATATTCAAAAGACATCCAGATATACATAAAATACTGGTTCACCATGCAGAGGGAATGACAACATAGAAATGTCAAGTGTGAGAATAGCCCTCAGGATCCCGAGTAGTCAATCCAAAGAAATTTCCCACCCATTTGCTGTTCCTTGACACTGCTAAGGAGGCAGATAGCACACCTTAGTAGCTGAAAGGGGGGGGGGAGATGATGCTGGAGAAAATTCATTCAATTTAATTCATTCCAGAGTTCAAACTCTCCTCCCCACTTCATCTAGTACTTTCAAAATGTGCTGGGCTATAACTCCTTCTTATAGTGACTAGAAACAATGTGTCTTACATCTGTGAAGATTATCAGTCATCCAGGTGTGGCTATCTGGAAGTTGAGTTATGGCAAATGAACTTCTTTCTTGTTAGGTTGAAATGTTTCGCTACTCATCCAAGCAGCTTCTTCAGTCTGAGGAGAGTTGGTAGGAAACCCCTGATATATCTTCCATGTTGGTTTCACTTCCCCCTGGTCTGAATAGGCTTGTTAGAAGGACTGGGGGTGAGAGATAATCCCATTTATGCAGTCCTTCTCCACCATAACTGCAGAAGTGGAATTATCCCTCACCCCTAGTCCTTTGTCCTTCTAACAAGCCTATTCAGACCAGGGGGAAGTGAAACCAACATGGAAGATATATCAGGGGTTTCCTACCAACTCTCCTCAGACTGAAGAAGCTGCTTGGATGAGTAGCGAAACATTTCAACCTAACAAGAAGGAAGTTCAGTTGCCATGACTCAACTTCCAGAATGCGGTTTACAGCCCAATACCTCCACCAGATTGGGAAAGACTGCCGCAGAGGTTTCTAACAAAGCAAAACTTGTAGAACAATCCCCACTCCCAATGTACCATATTTTCCCTGTATAAGATGCCCCCATGTTTAAGATGTCCCCCCACTTTTCTAATCCAAAATTAAGAAAAACAAGTGGGTTTTAGCAAGTGTAGGGGGAAGGGGATCAAAGTGCTGCAGGATTGCTTTGATCCCTGCTTGTTTTTGTTCTCTCCTCAGCTTACTTCCGTGTATAAGATGACCCTCAATTTTTAGTCTAAAGATTTTAGACAAAAGTATAGTCTTATACACAGAAAAAATACGGTATAATTGGCATTCTTACTCATCAGGTACACATACACACATGCCTTTTTTTAAGCAAAGCAAAAGAAGGCATGATTAATCTCCCAGCACAGGTAACTTTTGATCCAAGGGAAGGATTGCCCCCCAATTCTGTGAGGCATCTCCCACACTTGGATCATGAGCTGCCCATATCTCCCTATACAGGTTCACCCCAACACAGAGACACATAGATCTATCCAGAGACTTTTGGCTGAACTCCTCTTCTGCAATTCCCTTTCTTCAACCTCTTCCTAACTGAGTGCTTATTTTAGTAGGCCTTTACTAAAGCTTAGCTCCAAATCTAACTTCCACTTCAGCGAAAACAAGGAAGTATCTCAGCATACGAGTTTTGTTCTAGGAATTCATCACAACTTTTCTCCTCCTGCACCCATGCACTCCAACTTCACATTAGCAAATACAGAAGGCTATGATAAAAATCCTGTGTCTAAAAAGGCCACAGAACCAACTCTTCTTGCTTTAGAAGATCAATACGGTATCTCATACATTATCCCAACTTGACCATTAGACAGAAAAGCTTCATTTAGTACTTTGGCTGAAAGCAGGAACTATGAGATATGTCCTTGGTTCAACTTCAAACTCGACCGATGCTCACTGAATGGCATCAGGGCAATGTCAGCACATCAGCAAACAAAAGGACAGCACATCAGCAGACACCCATTCAATGACATGAGGATTAAGAACATCGAGTTGCTTTATCACTAATCCCTATAATCATCTTATGTTCTGAGTACTATGCTCTTTAGATGCACTACAGCAGAAATGGGAAAACCTCAGGCTTGATCAGTGTGGTTGCCAATGAAAAACAATCCCCAATATCAATCAGCCAGAGCCATGTGCAAAAGATATATCCTTAGAATTAAAGAACAGGGTTACTCTAAACATATTCCAAACTCAGGGTGTAGACTTCAGTGCCATGTATATGAGGAAATGGGTTGAAACCCACAAATGTTCACACTGGAATAAATGCATTCATCCTAAAGGTGCCACAATAACTTTGCTTCTCCTTGGTGTTACACAGCTAACGCTCTGAAAGATGAACTAAACTCTCTCTCTTTATACATACAAATTCACTCCTCTTTACTTTCAAGCTTCCTTCACTGCTGCAGGCTCATTTAGGTGGGAAAGGCCTTGTTGCTACTCCTAGTCAGAAATCCTCAGTGGTCCACTGTCCACTCCCACCTTCTTCTACACAAGCAAAGACATTAGGGATGCCTTGCGCTGCTACTGCCAGATTCTGGCAAGATAAATTGGAAGGTGGAAGACTTGTTGCCCTCCATATGTTGCTGGACTGCAGTTCTCATCACCCCAAGCCCATGATTATGAGAATCATAGCCCAACTGCTGGCCCTTCAGGTGAAGGGCCAGCAGTTCCCCACAGTTCAGATAAAGGAAGAATCCCACTGAATCACAGCTCACACCCCGCCTCCCCCCACCCCCCACCTGATGGCAAGGCTGTTTTTTTCAGAAACACTGGAAAGACTGAAAACCTGTTTTCCTTTTCTCTGCAGTTCTGGAAACCAAAATTCTCATTTCAGTTGCCTGTTGGTAATACAGTACCTACTCAGAATCCTTACTGTGAGGAATATTGACATGCTTAGGTTTTGTTTTAAGACGCACTAGATTTAGGCTAGGATTTCTGGAGGAGTGCTTGTTGCTTGGTCATCTTCCCACCTCCAAGGAGAGCTACTATACAGGCCTTTTCATGGCACACAATAAGCAGCCATCAGGTTCAGGTGGTCACCACAAGCAAGCACCCAGAACAGGGAAAAAGGGGAAATGGTCTAGTCAAGGGCGCCCCTATATATTTGAACACATTTGGCTGTCTACTTACTCTGCTTAAAAAAGGACTCGTTGTGTACTTGGCACTGTGCTACTGAACAAATAGCAGCAAAAGAAACACAATACAAGAATTACTAAATGTCCACAAGTCTCCGATTAAAAAAAACAAAACCCTCCGGACACTGACTCAAACCACTGTTCCCCTCCAGCCCTGTGCAATTGTAAATCCGACCAGAGCAGCTAACGGGCCAGGGCTAAGAGTAGGAAGAAATGTTTCCTGGCCTCAAGATCGTTCCAACGGGGAAATGCCTTTTATCTGCAAAGCTTCCACTCCCGGAATTATGCGTCTTCCTATGTCCCTTTCTGTCCTGTCCTCCCCCTCCAAACCATTCCCAAGAGGGCTTAACCCCACATCACCAGCAGCCCTCCCCCCCAGATACATTACAGTGACTCCTGCACGCCATTCTGGCCCACGAGCAACTTAGGACCCGCCACACTACCACAGACCCAGTAATCCTGACAGCCACCTCGCCCACTTATTCCTCCCAGGCAACTCCCCCTCCCCACCTGCTGCAACGTCTACCCATCTATCAGATAGGCTCCTCTTCACACAACTTTTTTTTTCTTGTTGTTTGTTTCAGAGGTAGCGGCTCTGGTTCCTTTGTTAACTTTCGCATTCTCAGCCCAGCCAGCTGCCCCCGCCGCCCCCCCTTTCCAATCAAGCTCATTCTCGCTTACTGGCTGGTTTGTTTTCCTTCCACCGACCCGCCCGAGCTACGACTCTTCTCGACGCGGCCCCTTTAAGAATGGCCAAGCCCGGGCCAGCCTCTTTCCCCGGGACGCGCTGCGTTCCTCGACTTAACACAACCCACGTGATTTCCCCGCGAAATTAAAAAAAAAAAGAAAAGAAAAACGGAAGCCGCGCTCGCTGATGGGGAACGTAGTTTCAATCCTAAGAGAAAAAACTGTTCCCTGTAGGGACATTTCTACCTGCTAGTGTTGCCTTAGTTGGGGGACCTGAGTATAAAGTAGATGTTTACGTTTCCAGATTGATTTACCCAAAGCTAAAGCTGGTGGTACTGTATTATTCAAATCGTATGATCATCGTCTGCTTACTTGAAAGCCAAGGTCCACTGAAATAACTGAAAGGCAAAGATGGGTAATGCCTTCATTAGACCAATAAAAAGTCACAAACATTAGTGGTCTAATAAAGATGTCTCCTGCCAACCTATGCAAGTACTGTAGATAAATATGCACCACCATGGTGGGAAGGTAACAGCGTTCTGTGTCTAAGTCGCACTGGCCACGTGACCGCGGAAACTGTCTTTGGACAAACGCTGGCTCTATGGCTTGGAAACGGGGATGAGCACCACCCCTTAGAGTCAGACACGATTGGACTAAATGTCAAGGGGAACCTTTACCTAATAAAGGTATCACTCACCCTTGGCTTTAAATTATGTGCAAGGATAATACAGCTTTTCCCTCCCTCATTTGTTGATATAATTTCCATGGATTTAAAGGGGCTTTAGTTGGTAGGAAAGGTTGCAGTTGTCCTAATCACTTCAGTAAGATTGAACATAGTGGCATTTAACGGTTGTTGTGGGTTTTTTGGGCTCTTTGGCCGTGTTCTGAAGGTTGTTCTTCCTAACGTTTCACCAGTCTCTGTGGCCGGCATCTTCAGAGGACAGCACTCTGTGCTCTGGTGTAGTTGCCCAAGCCAACTACACCAGAGCACAGAGTGCTGTCCTCTGAAGATGCCGGCCACAGAGACTGGCGAAACGTTAGGAAGAACAACCTTCAGAACACGGCCAAAGAGCCCGAAAAACCCACAACAACCATTAGATCCCGGCCATGAAAGCCTTCGCGAATATATAGTGGCATTTGCTCCCCTGGAAACATGTATCAATTGGGGGGGGGGGAAATAAAAGTCAGATCCATGAAATAAAATATGCATTCTCTTGACTCCATATGATATATATGAAAGCCACCCATACCACTGATTTTTATTCAGATTCCTTTACTTCAAGACTACACCATCCTCCATAAATAGGTACAGAATGTTTTGAAGAGGGGAAAAGATATCTCATCCTTCCATTCAGAATACACTGGAAAGGAACAAACAAATGGCCATTCAAATAAAAATGACCATTGAAATTGTCTTGTGAATAAGACCCTTCCCACTGTAGTTTGTAAATAGCCTGTGGAGCACTGGCAGAAAATAGAAGCCCTATCTTTCTAAACTGTGAATTGCTCTTCCTTTACTACTCGGCTTTGTTTCTGTGCTACATTCTCAAGGGAGAAATGGCACTTAATCTCTCGCCACTTATTCCTTTCCAGGTCACAGAAATACACAGAAACCTAGATTGACTGCTAGCTAATTCTAATTTACAAACTACCCACTAAAAGACATGCAAAACAAAAGGGAAAAAATTAAAGGTGTTGCCCACCAAGGCGGACATAGGGGTACACACAGATGCACTGAGCAGGGGGTTGGACTCAACAGCTTTATAGGCCCCTTCCAACTCCATTATTTTATGATGCTATGAACTGTATCCTGCCTCCTTGATGAAGCTGAAGAGTAAAAGTATACAAAGTTACACAGCATCTCCAGAAGAAAACCCTCTGGAGAGGGTCACCATACAGTATATCAGAATCAACATGACAGCATACAGTGATTATCACAGTCTATGGCAGTCTAAGGAGTTGTACTGTAATCTACATCACTGGTTCTTAACCTTGGGTTACTCAGGAGTTTTGGACTGCAACTCCCAGAAGCCTTCACCACCAACTGTGCTGGCTGGGGTTTCTGGGAGTTGCAGTTCAAAAACATCAGAGTAACAAAGGTTAAGAACCACTGATCTACATCACAGCAGATACAGTATAAGGAGATATGAAGAGCTACCCTTTTCACAACCTTCGGTGTCTGGGGTTGGAACCCTTGGGTTCCATTTGCACCACGTCCTTGCCTCTTTGGGATGGAAGTGAACTGGCCAGAGAAAACAATGGAGAAATGAAAGGTTTTAGTGCAATTACGGCTGGAAGAAGCATGTCCACGGAGAACCCATGCAGCAGCCAAGGAGGAAAGAGTTCATTCAAAATAAAATGTCTTGTGGTACTTTAAAGACCAACATATTTTATTTGGTATAAACATTTCTGAATCAGAACTCAGCCCATCAGGAGTTAAGTATAGATCACATACATCAAATGAAGTATATTGCATCTATCACAATCCCCAAAAGCTTATATTGTACCAAATAAATGTTTATTCCTTGAGTCACAAGATGCTGTGTTGTTTTTGCTGCAACACAGCTACACCTCTTGAAATTATTACTCCAATTCAAATTATGATCCTATTTCATATTTAACACTGCTCTATTGTTTTAGTTTAGTTCACTGGTTCTTAACCTTGGGTTACTCAGGAGTTTTGGACTGCAACTCCCAGAAGCCTTCACCACCAACTGTGCTGGCTGGGGTTTCTGGGAGTTGCAGTTCAAAAACATCCGAGTAACAAAGGTTAAGAACCACTGGTTTAGTTTACCATTAACAAATAGCAATCAATGCCTAAATACAGCCTAACACTACTGCTGGCTGGTGGTGAGTGACTTGCTCTGAGAATGTTGCAGCTTAGAAATAGGGCTGCTGCTACATCAATAGGAAGCAAAAGTCATTTTTGGTTAATTGCCCTCTTAATCTCTGTGATTGCAGTCTTCTGTCCAAAATCTGAACTAAAATGGCCTCTCTTGCCATTGGATCTGAAATAATTTGGTCATAGAGACAGTAGGTGGAACTGAAGGGTCACAGGGGAGGCGGACCAAATTAAAATACTGTGCCTATATGCAGCTATGGGTGCAAACAGGGGTCATGAGGGTGATTCACTCAAGTAATTTCCCCTTAAAAAGTTGGGCTTTCTGTATTTAATCTGTTTTAATCTTTTTTTAAAAAAAAAAGTCTATAAGCAGGTAAGCTTAGCCAAATCTTCACTTTTCTGGAACTTGTTCAGCTGTTCCTGCCAATCGAAGTCCCGTTAAAATCATCAGGATTGAGATCTAAACCCAGATACCAGCAGTTGCAAACTAAAAAAAGGAAAACAGATAATTTTTCAGAACTGGAAAACTCTATGCACCTTTTCATTGGGGAAGAAAGGAGGAGTGTTCTTACCCAGTCACAGCTATGCTAGAGCCCCTACAACTTTCGACGACCCTCGACGACCCACAAGGAGGAGAAAGTCTAAAGAAACCCGGTAATAGGCTAATTCCATTTGCGCCTCCCCCCACCATTAGTTTATAGGAGGGTTCTCGGTGTGGTGTAGTAGTGGACAGAGGAACAGACTACGACTCTGGAGAGCAGGGTTCGAATCCTCACTTGGGCACGAAAACTAACCAGGGAACTGTTAAAGCCATTCCTCAGACATCTCACTTACCTTGAAAACCCTATTAGGGTCGCTATAAGCGGGTTCCTACTTGGCGGCACGGAACACACACAGAAATTAGTCTATGGGCAAAGGGGGGGGCGAGAGATAACATCCGGTCCCACAATGCTCCGGGCGAAGGGAGGTCTTCGAGGGGGAGGTTGGAGGTTAAGCCGAGCATGCGCAGTGCCTCTCGGCGGGTAGAGGGGTTGCAGCGCTCTTTTGTTTGGCGGAGGCGGATCGAACGCGGGAGGCCTGTTGTCCAACCGTTGGGTCTCTTTTCTCTTTTAAAGCGAGACCGGCTTGTCCCGACGGTTGCTGGCGCCCGCCGCCGCCGCCTCTTCGCGCCTGTTCTCTGGGCTGTGGTTTCGTTTTTCTATTTTTTTTTAAAATTTCCCCTTGTGTGTACGCGGTGGGGCTGAGCAAGGTAAGAGGGGCAAGGAAAGTGGGGGGCGCCCAGGCATCTCCCGCGCGCGGATTGCGAGGGCTGGGCGGCCATATTGGGGGGGGGATGGACTGAGGGGGAATCTTCGAGTTACGGGGTGAGGAGGGATGGCCTTGAGGAGAAAGCGGTGGAAAATGTGCGGGGAAGGGCTTTTCCGAAGAGCGAAGAACTTCGACGAAAGGGTCTTCCTAATATGGGGATGGGGAAGCCGTTCTGAGCGGAGGGAAGTGCCAGAAGTGGTGCCTCGGCGAGGGTCCCTCCAAGAGTTTCTGAGGGAAGCCGAGTCCGGAAAAAAAAAAAAAAGGGACCGGGGACGGCTCTAAAAGGGGTCCTTTACGGATAGACGACAAGGCTCTTTCAAAACCGGGCAAGGTGGGATGGGCAGCGTCGAGGGGAGGTAAGGGTGGCATTGCCTTGGAAGTGAACTATGCAGGAGCTGCACATTGGGATACAGTAATGTTTTCCTGATTAAATAGCAAACACCCACCCACGGGGACAGGTAGGGCGTTTGTTTGGTTCTTACGATTGGGCATGTTTATGTCTGCAGGCGTAATGTATGGGAAGTCGTTTTCTCGGTGAATTGAAATGCTCAGAAAATAAACAAAGAGGCATGAACGATATAGCGAGAGGGCGTGCATGTGGTATGTGGTGGAGGAAGCTGCTTCAGTGTTGGGACATCAATTCAAGTCCAAGAATACTCACGAAAGTGAGGAGGCTATTAGCTTTTTGGAAAAAAAATCCAGTGGGTAGTTCTTTTCGTTGCCTTCAGCCACGGTGAAGAGACTTGCAGCACCATAGAGATTGTCCCGGTTTTATTTGGCATAAGCTTCGGTGGAGTCCTTTTATGCATCTAGTGAAATGGAATGGAGTGAAAGAAAGTTTATGGGAATAAGCTGTGTGATAGGGGTAGGCTGCCCCGCCAGTGGGAGAAAGTATGTGGGGTGGATGATGATGGTGGGGTTTTTTTCAAGACTCACTCCTTACTTGGCTGGATCCCAGACACTGTTGCTTGAGGGGATTCTGCTATCCTAGATAAATAGTTGAGTTGGGATTATATTGGTAGGATATTGGGATATAATAGTTCTTTCACCATCATGAAAGTGTTAGGAGGCATTTGTGGAAAGAATGAAAAATGTTGGTCATCCCCCCCATGGAAATTGATGTGAAGTTGGCCAGCTTCTTTGTAAGATGCACAGAAATCATGGAAGTGGATAGGAGGGCATGAAGTATGTGAATTAGTGATATAAATGGTGAGAAGGAGAATAGGAAGTTCAAGGGCACATAGGGAACTTCACATCTCAGAGAAGAGAATAAATATACAATTTGAAAAAGGAGGTGCAAACATAGATCAACACAGGTTACATGTGAGAAGGCTTTCCCTAAGAGTTTAGAGTAGAGAACAAGTTTAAGCAATCCGGTAGTCTGTCTGTGGCTGGAATAATACAAGTGTCCAGAAGTAAGGTAAAGTGGTGGACGGGTGCTTGTTTATCAGCAGTTGTGTTTGTTGCATGGAACAATGCAGTGCTAACAGGGAAAGACTGCATTGTTAGTCCAATGTAGCATGCAGTCTCAGTTCAGGAACAGGCTATCCTCCAAATGAAGTAATATATCTATGGGATATATATTACTTCATTTGGAGGATAGCCATTTTTGGTTAGGATAAAGTTGGTAGATAAGGTAGTAATGCAGGTGAAAGACGTTTCTCTTGGTATAATTAAAATATTAAGGAAAATTAGAAAGATCTCTAGAGATGTAGTGTGTGAATTCCACCTGCGATCTGCATATCTCAATTCTGTGCTTGTTCACTTTTCCCTTGTCTGAAAATGGAAAAGAAACAATAAGTTTGATTTTTTTTCTAGTAAATGAAATTAAACATTGCATGTGAGCTTGATGCAAACTGTTTCTTAGAACCAGACTTAGTCCTATCTTATGAAATATTGATTTTTTTAAATAATAAAATAAGTTTAATACCATCTATATACGAAATACTAGAAAGGCATCACACATGTCATGCTCTGATATTCTTTATTTTTCTGTGCTTGTTAACTACAGTACTTGATTTCTGTAAATGGCTTAGAATTGTATAATTGTAAATATCTATGATCATCTGCAAGTCAAATAATAGATATTGCCTTATATGTTACGGGAAAAAAACTGATCTGCCCAATAAATACTACAGGTTCAGGTAAGGATTACTCTTTATGGGAGTGATGCAAAGCATTTATAGGAGAAATTGCCTAGCAGTGGCCAGAATTCATTGCAACTTTACACCAGAGTAAGTGTAATTGTTTTTGATCATGCACCAACTCATGGACAGGCACACAAGTAGAAATACAAGCAGCAACAGTTAATTGACAGCTCACTGTGGTTTATGCAATTACACCAGGCTTAATCCACAGTAGGATTTTGACCAGTGTCTTAAACTTCAAAAATAGTATCAATGAATGCATTGCTGAGTCAAAGGTTGGTTGGTGGCAAGGTACAGTTAGGGTTAGAGACTACAACTGGAATATTGTTCAGTTGGCATCTGGCCACGCATCTTCGACAAATTTCTCATTCTCCTAAAACAACTTGTTGGCAAAGCATTTTGCAGGCAGTGGAGGTTTGACAATTCAGCGGGACATACAGGTAACCTGTGTTTTCCCATGGCTGCCAATGCCCCAATATTCTTTTCTGCTGGTGGAAAAGGAACAGTTATTGCTGTACGTTTTTCTTTTTGTGTGCATTATGTAGGTGTAGAGCTGTTTAGTTGGCTGGGAGGAGCATCTGAGGTAGAGACAGGTCTGCATTTCTTTATCCCAGGAAAGACACAACTCTCAGATGTCAGGACGATGGACTGTAATTGGCTCAGTCCCCAATTTCACACTGGAAAGGAGGTTTAATCATTCCTGGTCTTGTATACTGAAGAGTGGAGGTAGGATATCTGGGGAAAGTGTGTATGTATTTGATAGGGGGAAGTTTGTGCACTTACATACTCATGGAGTCAGTGCTGTTTGCAGTCCCTGGGGCCAAAAAAATTATCCAAAATCCCACTGTGGGCTTAAAGTATAAGGTTGGTATATGCTGAAGTGATTACACAACAAAACCCCATCCTGTTTCCAGTTTTTAATTATGGGGTATCTTGGAGTGTATCATTTTGCAAGCCACAACGCAGCTTTGAAACCAAAGGTAAAGACTGGGAATTTCATCAAAATCCTGAAAATTTTATTCCAATTTAAAATAAATATTTAAAACCAGTAAAGACTACTTACTGTATGTTTTATTTACAAAAGGGAAGGGAGTTAAAGCTGAAATCCATGTCTTGGGATTCTAAACTTGTTAGTCCAATGTAGCATGCAGTCTCAGTTCAGGAACAGGGCTATTTGCATGTGAAGTTTCAGGGCTATCTCTACTGCTTACTTGCTTTTCCTTGTATCTCAAATAAAATAGCAATATGCATTTTGCTTGAAGCTTTTTTTTTCTTTTTCTTTTTTTTCTAACCAGACACATGAATATCTCTAGGAAATCCTGAACCTTGGCAATATGTAGTATTATGACGAAATTATAAAAATAATGTTTGTTTACCTTTCCAGTTTGGGAGGAGAAATTTTAGATGACAGAAGCACAGAGTTTTAGAAACTGGCCAGATCCAAACTAATTTTTTCACACATAGAATTTATCTACAATATTTCAGTAGGATGTTTGTGCAACTAGCTTAGTCTGAATCCAATTCATGTAGCTTTCTTGAGTATGCTAAGAACTCTTAAAGAGCCCTTGGCCCCTCACAGTTATATTTCCCAGTATCTGTAAGCAGAACAGACCAAATAATTTGAGATCTGTGAAACAGAAATCTTTCCTCCAGCTCCCTATTCAGCTGCTGTTCATAGGTCTCCCTAGTCAACTATCCTTCACTGCAAATGAGACCCATTTTCTCTAGACCCTGGCTGTGCTTGACAGCCCCTTTTGTCTGTTTTATCAGACTCCAACTGAGACAACTACATCCTCCTACTGAGAGATGCTTTGTCTGCAGGAGTCCACCACAGTTTCTTGTTTCCAGTAGACTGTAACATTTCATTTTGAGAAGAAGCAAGCTGTTTAAACTTTCTGCCTCGCTAGGAAATCTTGTTGCCCCCACTTGCTTCCACCACTACTGCAATGTTTGCAGCACAGTCACATTATAGGTTCTGTGTTCTTTATTTCAAGGTAGATGGGGATGTTGGTGAGGGGATCCTGCTTTGAACAATAAAAGGCTAAAGAACTTTGGAGCTTCAGTTGAAGTGGGTTGCCTTTGCCTCCTTCAGAGCCTGTTTCTTTTGGGGGGAAAAACCTCATTATTCTCAAAGCAGTCACATATATTAACATAATATTGACATAGAAACCTGACTGACATGTTGAACAAATCTGCTCAATTAAGGTTGGTATGACCATATCTTGTATGATCTTGAGTGATGGGGAACAACATTGGTTTGTTCTGTCTTTTGAAGAAACAAAGAAAAAGTTGAGCATTGTGGTCAAATTCCAGAAGAGTATATCTTAATGAAAAAAAAATTGACTACTTTGGGAAGCATAAGCTGCCATACGCATTGTATCATGAAATATTTTTGGCACTGTTTTTCTTTATGTGTATATTGTGTTCCAGCATGTCTGAATGGATGCCGCTCAGCAAGTCTTGGGCTTAATTTGGATAGGGCTTTAGATCTCCATGATATTATTAGCTTCATCTCTGCAATTTGTCTTTGTTTCTTTTGGATGTAACTTCTAAAACTTTTCTCTGTATATCTAGTACATCTTTAAAGTTTACATATTTCATTATTAAATAATAAAATGAATCATGAAAAACATAAAGTGCCCAAGATCTCCTTCAGTCATTTATGGGTACAGTGGTGCCTCGCTTAATGGGTGCTCCGTTTAGTGATGAAACCGCATAGCGATGAACTTTTTGCAATCGCATTGCGATGTTTCCTATGTGTTTTTTTCACTTTGTGATGATCGGTTCCCTGTTTCGCTTACCGATCATCGCAAAGTGATGATTTTTTTAACAGCTGATCGGCAGTTCCAAAATGGCCGCTGGGTTAAAAAATGGCCGCCCGCTGTGTTTTCGCGCGGATTCCTCGCTTTAGAGGTAGTGAAAATGGCCGACGTATGGAGGATCTTCGTTTTAAGATCAGTTTTTTGCCCATAGGAACGCATTAAACAGGTTTTAATGCATTTCTATGGGCTTTTTAAAATCGCATAGCGACGAAATCGCTTAGCAGCAATTTTTGCTGCACAGATTAACGTCGCTATGTGAGGCACCACTGTAGTTCTAATTTTCTAAAGTTCTGGTCTGTTTCTATTATCATTTCTGATTATCTTTAACAGCCTCCTTTAAGCTGCAAAACTGGCGAGCACAATGGGAAAAAAGCAAAACAAGAAGAAAGTGGAGGAAGTCCTAGAAGAGGAGGAAGAAGAGTATGTGGTGGAGAAGGTTCTTGACAGGCGGGTAGTAAAAGGCAAAGTGGAGTATCTGCTGAAGTGGAAGGGCTTCTCAGAGTAAGATGGCTTTCATATTTTCAACATTGCAAAATATTCTATAAAATTTAGTCACCCACAAATAAGGTAGCATGTTACCCTATATATATCTATGTCACTTGAGGCATATCACTGTTGAAGGAAAAGATGCAGCTCTGTTCAATTTACCAGACCATGACTTTACTGTCACCCAGGAGCAATTGTTATTTACTGTAACTTGTAGCTGTTTAGAAGTCTTACAGGGGTAGGGAGGCTCAGGCTCAGAATGGTAATGGTTTGGGCTAGTGAATACTTTAGCCTGATAAAAGTCTTATTTCACTTTGACCACATGTTCACTCTGTGGACTTTCCAAGGGTAGCAGGGAACTCCAGAGACTAATGGAACACTGTTCGCTGTCTGTTCCTGCATGCGTTAAGAGAAGCAGATGCAGATTCTTTTTCCCAAATAAGTACTGTTTGTCTGCTTAGGCCTTGGTCTGCAGCTGCTAGAGAGCAAATTAGTGCTTTCCACATGTGTGAGTGACTGGAAGTCTTGAGTATAAAACATTGGTATGCCCCAGACTGTGGCCCTGGAGTATAAAAACTAAGGATGGTGATTTTTAATTTTTATTATTCATTGGCTCACAAATCCCATAGTTTCCCATTTTGGAGGTTCTGCTTGTCTAACAGTTTACAGACATCTAAATGTGGTTCACTGGGTAGAAAAGGCTTAAACTGGAAGGATCTGAGTTCCAGTTAGGTCTGTCTCCTCTTGGCTTTGTGTTCGGAAGGAAGGCCCGAGCTAGCATCAGGTAGGAAGAAGCAGCTTGGGTGGAGCTAGGCCTAGCTAAGCCTCAAAAGCCTTCCAGTTTAGGCCTTTTCTTCCCAGTGAACCCCATTTAAGTGTCTCTAAGATGTTTGTGAGTCACGTAGAACTCCCATATTGGGGAATTATTGGGTGTGTAATCTCAAGAAATTGAAAAGATCCCATCTCTAATACCGTGTTTCCCTGAAAATAAGACAGGGTCTTATATTAATTTTTGCTCAAAAAATGCATTAGGGCTTATTTTCAGGGGATTTTTTTTCATGGACAACAATCTAGATTTATTCAAATAAAGTCATGTCATTTTCTGGTTGGTGCACAATGGTGGATGGCGGGGTTTCACTTAACTGGGGCTTATTTTTGGGGTAGGGCTTATATTACAAGCATCCTGAAAAATCATACTAGGGCTTATTTTCAGGGTAGGTCTTCTTTTCGGGGAAACAGGGTAGAGACGTTCCTCATAAGCCTCCTGTTAGTTGTTGAGAACCCTAAATGTTATTCAGTTAGTTGCCCTTTAAATGTGCCAGAAAGCCTTGCCTAAAAGCATTTCTTCTGTCTGTCGAGTGCTGAAGCTGAAAAGCAGGTATATTGCACGATTCTAAGTAGTAATTGAAACAAAAGACTTCTTTGTGTGCTCTTCCACATTTTCTTTTCTCCATTTACTTTATATCTAGGTTTATTTCATGAGAGCAAGCCTTAAGCAGCAATAAACATAGACAGTTGACACTTTGATAGTGTGAATCTGCCCCATCCCTATCTTCTATCTGTATGTTGTTCCATTTCAATAACCTAAAGTAGCAGTAAGCCACATTCTCAAGTGTAGTAAATTTGGTCAGATGTGGAGAAGAGCTGCTTCTGCGTTACAACAAGTTTAATAGCTGTGTCAGGATTCCAACAGAAATCTTCATTTGCAAACTCTGTAGATAACCTCCCCGCTCCTGGAAAAGTTGTTGTTGAGTTGTGTGAGGAACTACCAGGTTAACTAGGCAAGAAAACTTTTTCTGATAATGTTAAATGAAACAGGGTTAAATTTTCTAGTCATTCATCATTAGTTACAAAATCTGGTGTCTTGCAGTCTTGTCCAGCTAATAAGAGGGGTTTTGTTGTTGCAGTGAAGATAACACGTGGGAGCCAGAAGAGAACCTCGACTGCCCTGACCTCATTGCAGAGTTCTTGCAGTCTCAGAAAACAGCACATGAAAGTGACAAGTCAGAGGGAAGCAAGCGCAAGGCAGAGTCTGACTCTGAGGATAGGGGGGAGGAAAGCAGACCAAAGAAAAAGAGAGAAGAGGTAAGGCAAGTTCAGTCTATAGTCCTTGTACAACTGAAGGCAGAAGAAAAAGGACTTTTGCTACAGGATATCTTATACACAACTCAAAAGTCAAAGGTTTTTACTGCTTAAATCTATTTATTTGCAGCATTTCTGTTCTGCCAAGTACGTTAAAAAATATTAGAACCCTAAAGTGTGGAAACAGAATAATATATAGAATTGATCAGTGCACAGTATCTTAAGAGGTGGCTTCTAGGAGATAGACGTACCACTTCTCTGTGGTACTTGCTGAGTTAGTTTCCAATCAGATCCTCTATACCTTCAGCTGAGGTACATGTTTTGTAACAAAATGAAGTTACACATATTTTATTAGGTCTGTGCACTGCTGTCATGACCAAAATCATGGTACAGATTTCCATGTGAATAAAAGCAGTAATCACACAAGTAGTTTTCACATCTAGTCTATTACCTGTCATGTTTAGCCACACAGCCACTTGCAAATATATGTGGCATCGGCAAGATCACAGGGACTGCTTACACAATTGTTGCTCGTACGCATAAATATATGTGGCATCGGCAAGATCACAGGCTTGCACGGCTCGACATGCATACTTTTCGAGGTATGGACTTCTCAGGCCGCAAGGTTTCCAATCGACTTGTGGCCGGAGAATCGACCTACGGACAAGAGGAGGAGGCGGGGAAAGCGCCAGATTCAAATTTGGCGCTTTCCCTGCCTCCCCCTTCCAGTCCGTAGGCCGCCGATCTGCCCCCAGATGCTTTCCAGGGCTTCTCCGCCACCATGGGAGGCATCTCGGTGGTCCTGCTGCCAATAGTGCCTCTGAAGCACAATCGGCCGGGGGGGGATTTTTACCTCTGAGATGCCTGCAATGATAGTGGAGAAGCCCTAGAAGGCATCCAGAGGTCCCCTGCCGCTGCTGCTGGGAGCTGAGCCATGTCGGGCGATCCCGGCCATGCTCAGACTCCTGGACTTCCCCCACCGATGCTGCTGGGAGTCCTCCGGCAGCAGCGATGGCGGCAGCAGGGGAACTCCGAGAGGCCTCTGGCAGCGGTGCCAAAGCCCTCTGAGTCCGCTGGCAGCAGCAATGGCAGCGGTGGGGGACCACTGGAAGGCTTCGAAAAGATAAGGTTTAATTTTTTAAATTTTAAAATTTTTTGTTGGGGGGGTTCTTGGGCTGGTTACGGATTAAATGGTTTTCAATGCATTCTTATGGGAAGTGCATTTTCGACCTACAGAAACTTTCCAATACAGATTAATTCCGTAGGTTGAGGGTCCACTGTACAGTTCTTAGATTGTAGTTGCATTCTATTAAGCTGCTAGAAGTTGGTAGTTCCTCCTTTAGCTATTTATATACAGTATCTCTTACTAAAGTCTGGTGTCTACCTTGACTTTCTTTTGGCTATACAGATTCTTCTCTCTTAATTTTTCCTGTATTCCATCTGACCTTTTTATATCCCCGTTTTTTCTCCTTTTGTGGTTAAATAGATATTTAGTAGTCTGAGATAGTTAAGAAACAGACATTTCCAAACATTCAGCATGAAGAATTCTTTAGATGACCATACTTTTCTTTAGCTCCTTTTTTCTGTATCTTCCTTTATTTCTGCTTCTATGTCTCCTGTTTCATTCCTCCCTTATGTGTTTTTTCATTCACCTTTCAGTGCTTCCCTTTTGTTCTTAGCTGCTTTCTTTCTAATCTCCAATTGTTTTAGTTGTTTTTATGCTTTCCTTATCTTCTCCTTCTCTGTCCCCCAACCCTCTACAATCATCACCACAAGCATACCTTAACTGAGTTACATCTCTGTTGTATATCAGACCATACATCTCTCAGGCTATGTAACTGTAGTAATATGAAGAAGAGATTCTGTTTGCTCACAGGCAGTTAGTTTCCAGGTGGGGTTGAGTCCTAACACCTACAAGTTAAAAACCAGCATGTACCAACAAAAACTAACATTCTCCTCTCACAAGAGTAAGATCATTCTCTGTCTTTTCTGCCCTTTAAATATATGACTGCTGAATATTTTTGTGCTAGCAAGTAATGGAATTGGTGCCATTGTCACACACATCTAATGAGGAAGATGATGGAGGGAAATTCTGAGGATGTCTATCCTGATCTCTTTCTGGGATGGTGTGACTTGTATAACAAGAGAAATTTTAAACAGCTCTTACTATTTAATATGCATTGTAAAGCAGTTTTATATTGTAAACAGCTTTTAAACTTATTAAATGGAAGCAGGTTCTTCCAGAGAAAAAAGAGAATCCTAGTTTCACAACACTAAAATTGATGGAATTCTTAATGAGGAATCATGATAACCAAATAGATTTGAAATACACATAAATGTGTATGTCATATCATATTTGACTAGTATTACCATTCTCAGATAGCAGACTGGAAATATTTTGGTAGTTAGGGTGGATTGGTTTAATTTTAGGAAGCAACACCAGATCAAGGTCTCATTCTTTTGTCATCATGTCATGGCAAACATTTCATTTTTTCCCTTCAGGCTGAGAAGCCTCGGGGTTTTGCAAGAGGCTTTGAGCCAGAGCGGATTATTGGTGCCACAGATTCTAGTGGGGAGCTGATGTTCCTGATGAAATGGTAAGTCAGCTTCTGAAAGTGTGCATTTGTCTTGTCTGCGCACCAAACATTGTGCCTTTTGTTTGGATTTTGATGAGGTAGCAACAGCTGCAGCAGCAACCAGCAGCATGTTGTAGGCCTCCATAATGAGATAGTGCTTGGTTCACAGGTAGGACTTTTCCTACTCTAGCACGAAATTAATTTGACCTGGTAACTTTTAGGTGTTGTTGTACTGCAGCTTGCAACAACCATAGGCACCAGGCCAGTTGTCCAGGACTATGGAGATTATAGTCCAATGTATATGTATGGTACCAGTTGTATCACTGGTACAAGTTTTTGAAGTTTTCTTGAGTGGGGGCACAACTTTGCTTGGCTGTACAGTAGCTGCTAAACTACCAGTGCTTCTAAACTACCAGAACTGCTGTATTAAGGAAGTGAAAATCAAAGATAATGAGCTGTGCACTAAAAATTAGGATCAGGTGCAGGAGACCAGCCATAGCAACCTGTATTTACTGTAAATATATTAATATCAGAAATTGATACTCACTTTCCCACCTGTAGTAAATCCCACCTTTCCTTTTTCAATTTGCTTCTGCAGGAAGAACTCAGACGAAGCCGACCTGGTCCCTGCAAAGGAAGCTAATATCAAGTGCCCACAGGTGGTCATCTCATTCTATGAGGAGAGGCTGACATGGCACTCTTACCCCTCAGAGGATGAGGAGAAGAAAGATGACAAAAATTAATCTGCCAACCCTTCTGTCCCCTCCCTCCTCTGGCTGACTTTTGTATTAAAACATCAGACTGTGAGTTTGAACATGAGTGAGAGGAAGCAAAGAGGCTCATGGCTGAGGAAGATGACCTCTGTAGAAACAGGACAACTTCTATGCCCATAACAGCTTGGTGTGGCAGTGCACTGCCCCTTCCTTTCTTCCTTCCTTTCATGTATACCTGGGGAAGGAGGGGAGAATGGGTGAGTGTTACCAAGCTGTTCCTTGCTTGGGGGATGAAGCAAAAATATCTTCATGCAGGAAAAAGCCTGGGGAATGGACTGGCTGCCAAAAGGGACAGCAGGATGAGGCTGTGTGTTCTTTGAAGACCATCTCTGTGATCCACAGCCTTTCCCCCCCAATAGTGTTAAATGCATTTTTGCAACTTAGCATGTGTGTAGGATTTCTTTCTTCCTTTTTTGCTATTATTGGTGTATCATTGCGGGTGGGAAGGGAGGGTACCTTCTGACTGACTTGAGACGGGAAGCGGTTCATGCTTCTTACATTAAATGGTTGCTCTTGCAAGGCTGGAGCTTTAAGCATCTAAAAGTTAAAATTGCCATTCGAAGTTACCTTTAATGCAGCCAGCTTCCAGAATTGTTACACTTTTAAAATTGAAATAGGAAACTTCATTAGATACTTTGATCAAATGGGAACAGTCTTTTTCTTCTGTCTGCCATACGGAAGTACTAGAGTCCTGCTTGCTTTTTTATTCTCTTGGATATATGTGGATTGAGAATAAAGATGTTTGGGTAAAGGAGGAAAGTGGGGGTAATATTTGCCCCTATAGCACAGCAGCAGTTTCAAACTTTTGGTGAACATCTATCTACTGTTCGGATTTGGGCATTAGTGATTGCTTTCCTTGCTCTGTTCCTATCCCAATTTTCTTTTTTTAATCTAGCAGACTTCTTTGTTCTTGTAAAGAACACAATTTTACCTCTGAAATTGTTCAAACAGTAACAACCCACCAACTCCTTCTCCTCCATGGGGCTGTTATGTACGTAGAAATGTATTGTACAAACCTTTTTTAAAATAAAGCATGTGTTTTAGGTTTCTGTGAAAATGTTGTCTAAAACTTAAGTGTTTGGATTTTACCTTCATACTGAACTGTCTTTTTGTCTCAATAAAACTTTAGATTTATAATGCTGCTCTTTCTATTTTTCAGTTCCTCTGATCAAGCCATTCTTTGCAAATATTTCAGAGGTTTAGCTGGAATTTGCAAAAGATTCTAGGTATGTTTGAAAGTTGTTATTGACACAGTGGAAGAGTGTTGCTTGCTTTGCTGGCATCAGCTTTTAAGAAGTGGGGCAGAATATGATGAATCCTGACAATAGTGTATAGAATACCTCTTTAAACTACCACAAAAATTGATAGGAAAAAGATTTTTTTTAACAGAGTGTGAAAGGAACATAATCTCTTCCCTTCCAGCTAATGCTAAGGTAGGAGTATTGAGGAATCTGCTGTCTTCTACATGTCTTTGATTAGACAAGTGGGTGAAGGTGGGTCATTTTCACTGCAGTGTAGTAAAAAAGCACTGTTGAGAATCAAAGCTTCAGCTATATTACTATTGTAAGAGTGAAATGTTATTACAGCAGCCTACTGATAGTGAAGACTTCTCCTTTTTCTGTGGGCTGTTTCTTGCAATTAAATTTGCTCACAGCTGTATCTATTTTCATCCTACAGTTGGGAATGGCTATGTGAGATATGTTACCAAAAAGTTTCAGGAAGTTACCTCTACCCCTGAAAGCTTTGGTGTAATACATTTCCTTTGAAATGCTGGATGCCACCGATTACGTAGAATTTGTTTTACACTGCATTTACCTGAGACCTCCTGCAAGGATTTTGGATTTACTGGGCCCATCTTTCCTTACAGTTGGGTTGCAAGGTACTTTTTTACATCTGTGCCATTCTCAGCTTGCACTATAGGAATAATAAAAGAGTGCCTGTCTTTTCATTTCTTTGGGAGGGGCTCACATTGTGAAATTAGATCCAGTTTAAAATGTCTCATTTTTGCCACTCCCCAGTCACAGCTAGCTAGATGATTTCTCCATTGTTTCTAACAGACAGCTATTCCGTTCATCTGTTATTATATACTGTCAAGTTATTAATTATATGACCTTTTTCCAATGTTTACTAAGTATAATCAGAAGTGTTTGCCGGTCCCTTCTTCTGGGTGCACTTTGGGACTGTGCAGCTTGCCCAGGGCTTATACAGGCTGGCTCTTCTGGAATTGAACTCCCAAATCCTAGCTTTGCAGATTGAATAGCTCAGTGAGCTGGAATGCCAGTCACTTGGGAAGCCAAAAAGTATGAAAGTGAACCATCTTCTTATTTTGAACAAGTAAATGAATGGTCAGTATTCCAACTCTCTAGCGTAACACACAAGTGCCTTATCTTTCCCTTCTCATAAGGTTATAGTACTAAATAAGGCTCAATAGTTGGCTAAGAAGCTATAATAAGGCTGCTGGAAACATGGGGAAAGGGTTTCTTAGTTATGGCACCAACATAAATTACTCTTAAGTTCCAAGGTTTTTGAAAGAGGTATACTTTGATCTATGTGTGGAAGCCATAAGCACTATACAGGAAAATTTAATGAAAATGGGAAAACAAAAAGGGTCATTGGGCCTCTTCTGCATCCCATCCTTAGGTTGCCAACTCCTATACTCTGTTTCAAACAGCCCGAAACCCTGAACAGCACTATTTCTGTAGAGGTTAGGAATACACTACAATGTTTGGAGTATTTGTATGTGTTTGTATTTGTTTTTGACACATCTTGATTCTCAGTACTAATTATCCACCCCTTCTCTTTGGGGTATTAAATCATTTAATCTTGTATCTCCTGTCATTAATTATCAATTATTGACTGGGTGCACAACTGACAAACCCCAATTAATATAGTCTTTCACTTGGTGGAGCTGGGTGTCTATAACAAATGGTTGACCCAAAACTGCACCCTTTCATTAATCTGAATACCAAGTTGAACAAGGCAATGTGTATTACTGCTTTAGACTGGGCTTTTGTGCAGAGCCACTTTTAAAAGGAGTCACTTGTTACAGAAGGCTATGATAAGTCAGCACTTGTCTTTTATACAGCACAGCACACCTCTCATTTGATCAACAATATTAATCAAGTTGTCACCATAACCCCTATAGGGATAGTGTATCCTTGCCCTGAAAGCTGTTTGCACTTGTGATCAAGCAGGGAGAAGTTTAGTTAATTCAGACAGGTGACTGATGTACCATACACCTTTTTACCTGCTTGAAATTACATCAGTACCCCAGATCAACTTACAAAAAATGTGATACACAGGTGCAACAGATGCAACATCAAATCCCTGTTACCATGTATGTTACAGGCTAGCACTGACAGTTTTGCCATAAGAAGCCCAATACTGTACTTTTAAAAGGCATATTACCCAGTAACCAGTTAAGCACAAAGGCATATTTTATGACTGTATTCTCTGCAGACTGACTGAGCAAGAACGTCTGTGAAGATAAGTTGGGCAGCACAGAAATTTCTTTTTACTTGCATCTTTTAATTTCTGGCTGCTTCAGAAGAGACACAAAGAACAAATGCTGAAATAGTGAATAAGCCATTTTATTTTTGTCCTGTACTCACGCACTCTCTCTCCTCTTCCCCATCAGGTCACTGAAACCACTCAAAGTAAAACCTCAAAAGGAAAATATAAATTAACACATGCACACATCAGGGCTCCATCCTAACCATCCAGCAACCCAGCCACAGCTCCAACACATTTTGTGCTTCAAATGTCATTCTGTCAAGTCGCAAGAGAAGTGGAAGAGACCCAACCTTGTTTTCCTCTCACCCACTCTCCTGGTTCTCCCTGCAAGAAATCACGGTCTCCCAAAAGCAAAATCATATGGAACATTTGGCGGCAAAAAAAATTGCTCTTTACTGAATAAACAGTGCTTCATACCTACCCCCTACAACCCTCTGGAGGATGCCCATTTCAGTGCTATGCCCTCACACATCATCACATACACAGGACTAACGGGCTGGGAAAAACCAAAGCCATTTAGGCCATCAGTTGCTGGTAATGTCAATAATACTCCCAGCTGTGCTATACTGCAGGTTAACAGCTCTGAGGATTGCCTCAGAGCCTGAGGCCAGCTGTGTTCAAGGCACTACCCTCACCCTTCACCTTATTTTTTTAAAGCAAAAGGGGGGAGGGAAGGGGAAAGTTGGAATGACACCCAAAGACAGAAGGAAAGTGAGCTGTGGAATCACAGTTAACACACTGAGTCTTTCTAGCAGAAAGAACTTTCAGCAGCTTTGAACATCTGGAGGAAACATCTCCCTTCTTTCCTACATGCATACTATAAGTTCATCCTACAGCCCTAGAGGGAAAGGGAGATAATATAGGAGCCCAGAGTCCTAAAAAAATAATAAATTAATCAAAGTGCCCATTAAAGAAAGGGGCTTGCCACAGATGACTATTCGTTCAACAAATGTGCCCACTTTATGGGAGCAAAAGCTACTGTGTTGAAGATCAAGTGATGACGATCACGCATCAGACTCCCATCTTACAAATCCCACCTAGTTAAAGGTGAAGTCTTTACACTTGACCCATACACTTCTTAGTCCCTTCAAGCCAATCAGTGGAAACAGACAGCATGTAGCATGCATTTTATCATGTGCTGTCTTGTAATGCATCTTGATGGTGATCCAGTGGAATACTGGCTCCTCACTGTGGGCAGTGACATGCTTAGTGAGTTCTTGATTGTTGTGCAAAGGGGCAGTGGGAAGATACATCACCATGGTAATTTACTAACATTTTCCAGACCCTCCCTCCCAACATTTATGGTAAACGCTGAAGCCATCAATTCCTTCAATTGAAATCTCTCACTTCCCCTCAAACCTAAGAGCTCCTTTCTTCTTTCTTAGAAACAACACTCCTGGGCTCCACCTGTCATAGCACACACAGATCTAGGAAGCAGTGATGGCTACATCATGGGATTCAGTTGTGTTTTCAAATTGCACACAACAGATGTCAAAGCTGGTTCTAAAAATAAGCCCAGCAACCTGAAATACCCAAGTTTTGGAAGTTCAAAGGGAAAAATAAAACCTCTCTTAAATCTGCTCAGTTTGCCCACTTATTTTTTTCCCTTTCAAAACAAAAAAGCCACCTTTAATAATTCAGATTCTCTATTCTCTGCTGTGACTCATCCCCCTCCCCACACACATTATGCCAGCTAGCTCCCCCCTCCCCAACGTTCAGCAATGGGTGCCAGGATGTGGGGGCACAGGTCTTTCCCAACATGCTTTGTCATTCTGCCTCCAAAGACTTGTAGGCCCCCTGCCGAACAGTCTGCTCCTATACACTTGACTGGCAGCTATCATGGTTTGAGAAGATATATTGGATACGAAGGCATGAAAGTTCCTTCAAATTCTTCCGGGCTCAGCCCTTCTCCAGGATGTCACTTCATCAAGTTTTGCATTTTCTTTCTGTCATTCATTATCTCTCACTTCCTCCTGTCTTTCTGTTTCTTCTCTTGACGCCTGCCCTGCTGGTCAGCCAAGGAGCGTGGTATTAGGATAACACTGCCATCACTGGCATGCTGTAGGGCATACTGACTTGGGGAGTAGGGCTGGCCATTCTCATCCCGCAGGCGTCCAAACACTTCCTGGTAAAGGCTCTGCACCTTTTGCTTCATCTGACGTATGGACCTGAGGAACTCCACTTTCTCCCTGAGCAGCTTTGACTTGTCTCTCTGCAAATCCTCCACATCTCTTTCCAGGTTGAGGATAGTGTCCAGCTTTCTCTTCCGACAGTTCTGGGCAGCCATCTTGTTCTTGCCCCGTCTCCGGATGTCCCGGATGAGACTCAGCTGGGCCTCACTCAGCTGGTACTTAGACAGGAGTTCATTAAATTCCTCTACAGGCAAGTTGATGATCTTCTCATTGGGAAAAGGAATCTTCATGGCTCGGGCTCGGTGTTCATCTCTGCTCATCTGCTTATCCAGAAAGTCTGCCTGTTTTTCCTTGGCGCTCTTTTTGCTCAGGCTGGCTGGCTGTGGCTCATCAGCATCTAAGGTCCTGGGAACCATGTTGTAGGTGTGGTTATGACCCACATGCTCCAGATAAGGCAGATATTGCAACTGAGAAGGATTCTGGTAACTCATACGACAGAACTTGCTGTACTCTGGCTGATACCCAACAGCCCCTTCTGCATCTTCAAAGTCCACATTTTCAGAGTCAGAGTTATAGCCCACAGCCCCTTCTTCAGAAAAGGATGAAGAGGCTGATGATGAAGATGATGATGATGCTTCTGAGCTGCTAAGAGAAGCAGGGCTATGGCTCGAGTCCAAGGAGAGCCCTGAGTCAGAATCAAATTCCTCCTCCAGGCGAGAGGCCTGCACTGGGTTGAAACCTTCTTCGATAGCCAAGTCCATCAAACTGATCTCATCTAGCATGGCTTCATCCAGAAGTCCCCCCAGAGGATCTGGGAGTTCTGATCCAGATGTTTCATTTACAGTGCCATTTAGCTGGGGAGGAAAGAAGATTCCACTCAGGTTGGTAGAGCCAAAGGTAGTGTTAAAACCAGTGGAATTGTCAGGGACCAGCTGCAACAAAGCCGAACTGCCAGCCCCTGAAGGGCTCTCAATCTCAGAGCTGAACAGAGAAGGGAAGTCCTGTGTGCAACCACCCAGTGATGCCTGATGCAGACTGACATTCTGGTTGATGGGAGTAGATGGGGCAAGGGTGTAGTTTGTTGCCAGGATGTCACCAGCTGTGCCATTGTACAGGTTCTCTGAGGCAGTCGTGCTGTTCATCTCCATGCCCTGAAAAGGAAAGAAATACTTTTCCGTCTCAAAATTCTTTTTTCCCTCCTATATTATATCTTGAGCAAATAAAAGGCATTCAGAGAAAATTCATGAAAGAGGATCCCAGGAAAGAACATAGAAAACTAAATGTAATGTATTTTAAACCTATCATTGTGGAGGTTTAGGTATATTAGCATATATAAAATCTACATCTTGTACTTAAACATATTGGCAACTGGAATATTCACCTCAAATCAAAATTCTACAATGTGTTCTTCAGCAAATCGATAGCTTGTTTACTGTGAACCAACTTTCATCTATCAAGCCACAGCCAGGCCTTTCTGGGTACTTACTATCTAAACAGGCTATGCTCCATATCAGTGTTTCTGCATTTTGTCTAGGTTTCTCCTTCCGTCCAGCAACATTGCTCTTGGCAAAGCAAAAACCCACAGGTGAGAGAGGAAATTCTTTATATATGGGGCACACTGCTGAGAACCCAAAGAAATAATTTTCCCACACACTACACTTGACCAGATGTTGAAGATATCTAGGCAAACCCCCAGCTTTCTGGAAGAGTAGCACCTGCCTAACAAGCTGGAAGCCCAAAGGTGAAAAACACATAAGGAGAAGGGAGAGTGACTTATCAGTAATTCATGGAGGGACTCGAGTGTACAAAACAATTTCTGGGGACAGACAACAGCAAGGCAATATTGAAACTTGTTTTTTTGGATTTCTAGCAAGGAAAATCCCAAGACCACATGCATCAATCTACAGGGGTTCTACACTATTGAAGATAAGAAGGAACTGCCTCCAAGGCAGCAAGATTGTTATTATTAGTGAAGGCATACTTCTGTTCAGAAGTTCCATGTATCACATCACTCAGGTAACCTGTTGTGCTATTCTGTAGACAAACATGTTTATTCTGTTTTTGAGAAGTGAATACTAAATAGCTTTTATGGTCCTTCCAAACTTCTGTGTTTGTCTCTTAATGGATGAACAATCTGTATAAGAGTCAGCACTCTTTCATGCTCCCATTTCAACTACAGGAAAGAAATTAGGAGGAGGAGAAACATCTGGCAGAAAGGCAAGTCCAATGAAGATATAAGAACAAGCTACTTTTCATTTGCCTACTAAATCTATGGAAAACTAAACATCTGACAGGGCCCTGGCTCAAATTAAGTACTGAAGAGAGGCATATAATGGTGTAATTCACTACTTTCACTGAAAAAAAATCAAGACAACATCTCTGGCCTGCACTGCTTATGTGAAGGTAGAAGAATAAAAAAGACAGCAAGGGAAGTAAGTCCTAACAAAATCTAGTACAAACAATGCATGAACTGGGATATAACCAAATAGGTAAAAAATTCAAAACGAAAATTTAATTCAGTACCCCTAAAGATCTAGTTACACAATCATAATAAACAGCATTAAAAAGCTTGTGATGTCTTCTGCGACTGAAGATAACTAATTTATGTAAATATACACAATCAAACAAGAGGTGTACCGTAAAGCTCTCTTAGTTGAAATTCCTAGCTGTGGAGCCAAGATTCGGTTCAACTCCTCAGTGTGCCTCCCAGCAGAAGTGTCAGGCTGTGTCATTTCGAGATGTGCTTCCTGAGAAGTGCGTACCCTTGATTTTGGAGCAGCACCAGGGTAAGGGACTGGTAAATCAATTCTATCCTGCCAACCTAACAGTTTGAAAGCATGTAAAAATGCGAGTAAATAGGTACCACCTCGGTGGGAAGGAAACAGCGTTCCGTGTCTAGTCGCGCTGGCCACATGACCACGGAAACTGTCTATGGACAAATACTGGCTCTACGGCTTGGAAACGGGGATGAGCACCGCGCCCTAGAGTTGGACATGACTGGACTTAATGTCAAGGGGAACCTTTACATTTACCTAAACCAATTCTAAGTATTTTGCACCTAAAAATTCCTGAGAAAGGCTGCCATATGGAAGCAACTTGACAGCACAAAAATACCATAAACATTCTTTTGTCATATTGAAAATAAAAGCACATTTCAATCTTTTGTCTTCCTCGGTAATTCTTTTTTTTAAGGCATGACAGATAAGTCATAAAACCTCCAAACAATAAACTGAATACCAGAATCTGATGCCGGCTTATGGAGCTGTGAGGAGAAAATCCCCATAGATTTTGGATTGGTAGGTAACAAACTGGAATAACTGCTATCAATAAACCCTGCTTTTCTCTGGCTCTTAAAATCTCCTATGAGAGTAATTGATGGTTTTTCCAGCACTCAAACCACTAACAGAAATTCAGTAGCTGATTTTATCTAGTACTATGTCTGGTATTTTCAATCCTATTTTCATGTGAACACATATTTACAGTACGTTATTGTTTAGTCATTGTGTCCGACTCTTTGTGACCCCATGGACCAGAGCATGCCAGGCCCTCCTGTCTTCCACTGCCTCCCGGAGTTGGATCAAATTCATTTTGGTAACTTCAATGACACTGTCCAACCAGCTCATCCTTTGTTGTCCCCTTCTCGTGCCTTCACACTTTCCCAGCAACAGGGCCTTTTCCAGGGAGTCTTCTCTTCTCATGAGATGGCCAAAGTATTGGAGCCTCAGCTTCAGGATCTGTCCTTCCAGTGAGCACTCAGGGTTGATTTCCTTCAGAATGGTTTGTTCTCCTTGCAGTCCAGGGGACTCTCAAGAGCTTTGATTATGTGGACCTTTGTCGGCAAGGTGATGTCTCTGCTTTTTAAGATGCTTTCGAGGTTTGTCATCACTTTCCTCCCAAGAAGCAGACATCTTTTAATTTTGTGGCTGCTGTCACCATCTGCAGTGATCAATATACTTCCTGTCTTACTGTGATTATTTACATAAAGTAGTTACCTTTCATAGCACAAGATATCAATGTTTTTAATGCTGCATATTATGATTGTAGTGTGCTATTTTATTTTGTGTAACTACATCTGTGGAGAATATTTTATTAAATATTAATGTTGCATTTCTTGTTTTGTTATTATTTCCACAATTTGTACACCACTTTTATGTGAAGTTTATCAAAGGCAAAAAAAGACATGATTAAACCCACCTGGGAAAGAAAGGGAAGGAGCAGAAAGCTAGGATAAGCAACTTACAAAGAAAAGCCAGCTCTCCTCACCTGTGTTTCCATAATAGACATGAGGTCCTGCCACTGCTGTTCCAGGTCAAAGGGCAACTCAGTCTCTGTCGGAAGAGGTGACAAGAGCCCGTCTGGCACAATGGAAGGTCCACTCTCACTAGGCAGAGCTTCAGTTAGGCAGGGGGCATCTGCAGCTGGAAACTGAAAAAAGAATTAGCTCAGGGCTGCAGGGTATCAAAAAACAGCAACAAACTACTACTGCCCTCCCTTTCTTCTTCTAGGCCCACTGCACGTTGGCACAGCCATCCCACACTTCCAAGGTTATCCAAGCCCACAAGACCTTTGGGGCATGGTATGGGGTAAGTGATAAAGTGGTACAGTTATCTTTCCTATTTATCTCCCTGGTCCTGTATCTGGAACAAGCACAGACTTCTTTCTCAACCTGGAATGATTTGCTTAGCAAAGCCTGCAAAGGCTCATGCCATCACAGCACAAGGGCACTCGGTTCTTCCACTTAAGAGATCAGCAGGTAACTAGATATTTCCATCATCTCAGAGCATAACCCACATTGCAAGGTTACTACAAGGACATGCACTAAAGATTTCAGGCCTGTTTCTATATTCAAAGCTTCTACAGGAATAATAAATACTGAACAGTTAATCTTCTGGTATCCAAAGACCTACTACTACTACTAACCTCTGAATTTTCCCCAAAGGGAAATGTGGCCTCCAGCAGCCTAAGGCACTCCTCCAAGGACAAGGCTGTCTGGTCCTCAACCCCAGGTGCCTGAAAAGGGCAAAGAATTTAACAGCTATTTTACTGCACTACAGCTTGGCCCTGAGCACTATCGAGACCAGCAGACAAGATGGGACCTCCATAATTTTTACCATACAAATTCATTTTATTCCTGCTCCTCTAACTGGACTTTAAAAAATTATGTTAAAGCCAGTTTGAGATCCTTCTCAGACTGCAATACAACCCTGCTCTGAATTACAACCTAGCTATTAACCACCAGTGACTTACCAAGTCCAGTCCGCAATCCAAGAAAGGACTGTCTGCTCAGAACCAAATAGGCTCATCAAGTTAATCAGCTTGCTAAAAAATATCCAGTACACATCTGGTATATCTAACATGTGGGGCTTCCAAAACCTCACATTCAGTTCCTTTTTTGTCGCTATGACTGCATACTCCCAATCTTAACTATAACCAATTACTGCTGTTTGCCCTCATATCTGTCCTCCCTATCCCAGCCAAAGGAAGCCACCAAACTTTGGCAAATATTCAAATACTGCAATCAGAGATATTTCCTGGAGTCAAATTTATTCAAATGCACATACTCTTGGTGCAGAGTTGGATGCAGCATGCAAGCAGAGCGCTGTTCACAATGGCTGCTTCAAGAAAGATGCTCTACAAAGAGTGTATTAACTCATCTGGGCCTATCATTCCAAAATATGTCATCTTCCCTGTTCTTGTAGAGGCTGGTATATAATCAACCCCTGTAAATGGCAGGGGCTATATAGTTACAAGGGAAAACAGAAGTGGGACTAGCCTTGACCCATGCACTAAGCGGGCTTTTCAGAAGGTCCAGGGTAGCCAGCACCAGAAAGAAAAAAGTTGCTTGTAAGGATACACAGGAGTAATTCAAAACTCTTACTAATAAAAACTATGTAAGGGAGACAAGAGGAAGCCAGTACTCTGAGAAAGAATCAGATGGGCTGCATAAGTTCAGGAAGAAGCACAAGTTCAGTAAGAAGATGGGTTGCATAAATTCAGGAAGAAGAAGAGGCAATAAGGGCAAAAAGGGGGACAGACTGAGGCCAGGTAGCTAGCAAGCCTGCACTTAGATCCAATACAAACAGAGAAGCAGCTCTGCCTGCTTCCTAGACAGAAGCAAGCCTGAACACATCCCCATTTTCCAGCTAATCCTTTTCATAGTGGTGGAGGACATTCTCAGTATAACAGCCCGCCCTCACTTTTCCCCTTGAGAGAAAATATATTTTGTTCCTAGGCCCACCCAATCATGCAGCCAATCATAGGCAGCTGCAGGGCTTCCTTCTTCTCTATTGGGCAGCTAAGGAGACCAGTCTCAGAATGGTAGGAAAGAAAGGTGGCCTACCCCACCAGGAGCATTTCTTCCCCCTCCCACTTTTTACCTGTGCAGGGAAGCTCTCCCCTGTCTCACCATCCACTAGCAAGGCCCTTTCTGCAACGCTGCCGCCTCTGTTCCTCCAGCCATCCCCATACTCCTCCCCATTATTCGGTTCTTTGTCCACTTCGTTCTCCTTCTGACGGTGGCTGTAGTCAAAAATCTCACGCCCAGCTCCAAGGTCAATATCTTGTCTCCACAGGATGTCAATTAAATCAATATCCTAAAAGGAAAAAAAGAGAGGGGAAATATGACTTCCCCTTCCTCAGCTACCCCTTATCTAAAATATGCCCACCCTTGCAAAACTCCCTGCTCAAACACCTCCAGACCCCACCCCAAAACGCCAGCATAACTTTGGCCTCCCTGTAAAACAAAGCCCACACCACCATTTGACCCTGCTCACCTCCAAGTGCCGCCCTTCATTCCAAGTGGGGTGCGTCCTCACCCCGCCTGTTCCTTTTCTGGACCATCCCCGTTGTCGTGGGGCTCCAGATACCTTCCCCCCACCTACAGCCATTCTGCACTGGGAACTTGCCAAGAGCGGCTCTGCAAAGAGGCTGCTCTGGGGCACAGACCGGGAACTCCATGAACAGCAACAGAGCTGTCTCCTCCTCACTGCCCATGCTACGCAGCAGCAGTGCTCGTTCTGTCCAGGCAGGAGGGAGTCTGCAGCTTTAACCGCTCAGACGGCTGGCTGGCTGGCTGGCTGGCTGAGGGAAGGAGGGAGGGGAGGGGAGGGCCAATTGTCATTCTGGATTGCTGCTCCATAGCGGGCTTGCATCAGCCTGTGGTGCCATTCTGGGCATTTGCATAAAGGGGTGGGGATTCTCTGCATTTCTAGCCACCTGATGCAACTTAAGAACCCAGCCTGCCATGCATGCTGTGCCTTGCCAGCTTCCTCCACTCCAGACAGCAAAGCTGCCTGCTGTGACTAGCTCTTCGGACTGAAAGCAACCACCCTGCTGAACAGCATACCCTAAACACTCTGCCATCTTCCAACCGCAAAGCAGTTATCACAGCCCACAGCCAGCCTAGACTCCAGACATGCTTTTTCCTTTGGAATATCACCTCCCATTAAACACCCGCCTCTCCTACACAACATCTTTCACATTCTTCATCGATAGGACAGGCCTCTCCCAAAGCCAACCCAGCCATTCCCAAGGCTATTTTTGTTCACACACTGCAGGAGTATACTCCTTTCATCCAGGCCCATCCTTGGAACTGCCAACCACATACAGATGCCTCCCCACCCTGTGGCTCCAGCAGTTGTGTTCTCAGTGTTATAAGAAAAAGCTTGCAGTTATGTGCCATCCTTGGCCTGTACTTGAGGCCCCACCCCTCCACCTCTCCAGTTCCATGGAAAACAGATAATCCCCTTCCCAGTCAGTAACAAACCGCCATTCTATTCCTGAATCATATGTAGGGTATAAACAGTCTCAGAATCCAGGATGTCAGACATTTAAAATAGTTTCCTCTTTCTACTGGAACAGTATCAAACAAAGTAAAGTTCCAATTTTCAGTGCCCTACAGAATAACACAATGGTGTGGTGATTTCCCTTTACCCCCTCCCTCCAATGGCACACAACAATGCTATTAAGAATTGCTTTCCTATCCTTGACATCTCTATGCTATGGATGTGAATTCTAGTGCCACCCTCAATCAGTAATCAAATATTACAGAATTGACTATTAGAATAGCCTATTTCCTAACCAATACTGTAATTCCTTTCCTAATCTGCCATGACTTTCTGCATCCTCTCTCCAAAAGACCTAATTGATTCCCCAGGGCCTAGCTGGTAAAAACAAGAAACAAAACAAAACAAAACCACCTTCTTTTCTGTCTTTGGTATATTCGTCCAAATTAACTAATGAAGGCTCTAGGCATCCCCACATCTCAAAAGGAATAATTTTTCCCTAGGGGGCACCTTGATCCAAAGTACTGCCTGATCAAGAATTACTCTACCCTCTCCCATCTTCCTACTGTTACCAACTCACCATGCAAAGGAACTGATCTTGATGCATAGTTTACCCAACAAACTCCAAAACATTATTTCTTTCCTTGCTGATGTGTGTTAATTTCACCACCATTTCATTAACAAAATGCCCATCTCTATCCATCCGTATTGTAGAGCAGGACACCCATATGAATCACAGATACCCTTATCCTTTCTTCCCAACTCTCCTATCATGCAACAATCTGTTCTTTCTTACAAGCATTTATCTACAGTAAAACTCTGCCCATCCTCCTCCTCTCATCTACAGAGATCACTGACAGAAGACTCCTGAGTATGCACACATCAGCCACACTTTTCCTGCAACCAAAAAACCACCATCAAGACACATAGAGAAATTATGGATTCTGGCCTGCTGTACTTCAGTCTTCCCAAGCCTAATCTGATCAGAACATCCAACCTATGCAGAGGGCAGGGAGTGGAGAAGGCTTCTCTTACAGCCTACCCCCTGTAAAAAAAAAAGTATCACAACCCTTGCCCCACTGCAGAGATCCTATAAGTACATAGTGCCCACCAGAGAGAAATCTGGCCTAGTCTAGCCTACAGCAAGCAGCAGACAGGCATGGGGGTGAGAAAAGGGTTAAATGGAAAGAATACCTTTCTCATGTCCCCAGCTGCCGCTCCCAGAGCTGTCCACCCAGATCATGGTCTATGTAGAGCACAAATTCCGGGCAGGCAGAGCTGGGTGACCCAGGCAAGGTTCCGGACAGACATCTCCGGTTTCAGTTAGCAGTTGCTCTTTTTTGGCAGGCTTGCCAGCTGCCTCTGAGTTGTCTGGAAGCCCCCCTCTTTGCCAGCATATGACCCACAGGTGCTGTGCTACAGCCAGCCCTCCTCCCCTCCCGCTCTTGCTTGAGATCCAATCCTCGGCTCTCCTCCTCCGCTTGTAGCTGAGAGAGGAGTTCCAGCGAATCCCCACCCCCTGCTCAATGCCCAAGCTGCAGAGATGGAATCCCCACCCCATGTGCCGTGCTGAGGCTGCAGCGAGACTGAGACAACACCCCCCATGCCCGTTACCTAGGCTGCAGCCAGAGCCAATCCCCTCCCCCAGGTCACCGCGGAGGATGCAGAGGGAGCCAGGCTCCGCCCTGTGCTGGTTACCTAGGCTGCAGAAACAACCAATCCTAGGCCGCCAGTCCCTGCTGAGGATGCAGGGGAAAGGGCTCCTCCTTACACTCGTCACCTAGGATGCGAGGCGGCAAGCCAATGGTTTCCCAGCTCTGCTTCCCCACCCAGGTCGCCCTGGGAGCTGCAGTAGCAGCAGTGTTTGGGCCTCTGTCTCCTTGAGAAGCTCCCACGCCAGCATGCCCCACCCAAGCCAGGCAGTGATGCCTGTGGTGATGCAGGGGAACATAGAAAAGAACAACAGGCAACAGAATTGCCAATACAGTATGTTCCTTCATTACTTGAGTGGCACCTAGCAAAGTAAGCCATTTCAGGCAGCATCATTCCTTGAAATATTTGTTCCTTCTCCCCCATTCCCAGGGATTATCAATCTTCTCTTTATCAACCCAGATTCCACCCATTCTCTACATGCTATAAAGAAGCTAGAAGGAGAAGCCTAACAATAGAGGGTGTTGCATTCAATGCACATACAAGAGACCACACATACACAAAAGCAACTCACAAGGAGCACTCTAGTTCCTACTATTGGGAACTGGGACTGTTAAGAGATTTCCTGGCATTACTGTTCCACTGGGACTTTCTAATTCTTCTTCTTAATAGCTTTCAGGATTCAGGAAAACAGGAGTGAGAGAACAAGAAGTGGGGAATTCTCTCTCCAACCCTAACAGTCTTTTCCAAACATACCCCTTTCCAATTCAGTATTAGCCTACTGCTCCACAGTTGGCACAAGGGCTATGTTTTAAAACAGAAATACCCCTCCACATAGCTCTTGAGAGTGGCAGGCGGACAGAATAGCAAGAACCAAAGGTTTATGGCACACATCCACATACAGTGATATGTACCTGTATTCACAGGAAGACAAGAAATCTAACGTATCAGTTAGCCTGGGAGCTGAAATCTGCTGCTTGCTTCTTCTCTGCATTTGGGATAGGATCAAAATGGTGGTGTGGAGTGGAGTGGATTATTAGATGCAACTGCTACCCAAACCAGCAGTTCAAGGAGACATAGGCAAAATGTGGTAGACATACAGTCCAAATAACATGCTTAGTTTTCTCACCCTCAGTGGAGTAGAGATGGTGAAGAAGTTAGGGCAGATACAAGGAGATATGTAGTGCTGCAAACTCTGTGCCTCCCTTAAATAAGGCTCTACATGAAAATAAAATAATTATCCAAACTTCACATCTAAACCAAGACTGTTTTCATCTGCTAATCTGGCCCAATACATCCCATCCTGATTTTTAGTAGAGTGAAAGGGGAAATAACATGCAGAGCAGAGAAATACCCACACACCGCACAAACCTTGTTCAGACATGCCTGCAGCTTTTGCGGCTACCCCACATTTTAAGTGCTACCTTTACAGACATATGTTTGGTTCATTATTTCTAGCTGAAAGTAGATATTCTTAAGATACAGGTACTCTATTCTGAGTGCAACATCAGTCCCTATAACTGTAACTCCAATAACAGCAAAATGCTACAAATTTTCATCCCAAGTGTTTTCCAATAGGGCTAAAAATATCTGATAATATGAGCTTAATTCATTAGTTATTTATTACTACAATCTATTTAACTGTATTTTATAATTTCTTGCCCTTTATCTGTACTTGTTTACATCTATTTTTATATGACTTTGCTTTAAATCATGTTGTAAACTACTCTTGTCAACTCTCGAGAAAAGCATGATGTAAGTCCAGCAAAATAAATATAATAAATAATAGCTACCACTGAAATCAAAGGTTCACTTCTGAGAGTGCAACTACAAGAAAGCACTGAAAAAAATTTTTCCAGTCTGATTTAACTTAATCATTATTGGTCAAAATTTTGCTTCCTCTTCTTAGACACAGGAGCGAACCAATACACAGTATACTCAACTTTTCACATTCTATTTCAAAACTGACAAGAGTGAATGCAGACACTATCACAGTTAGTTATAAAATTCAATTTAATTATAAGGAGAGCTGATCAATTTTAAATTGTGCCGTCAGTTAAGAAAGTATGTGTAGCTCCCTATGTGGCTGCCATCTATAAATAAAAATACAGATTTTTTTTTAAAATTCGAATCTCAGCAATTCGAATCTCAGCTGCCAT